GAATATTAGGCATCATAACACAGCACTGGTTCACAAAAGGGTTCTCTACCTATGCTCAGAAATATTGTCAGTCATGTATGATTTGTGCAACTAACAATCCAGGTAAAACAACACCACTCACACAACAAGCAGCACAACCTACAGTATTGCTCACAATAATAGCAGTACAATGTGACTAACCAGAATAATCCAGGTTTTTAGTATATTTTTTATTGCTACATGGCAAACAAGTTACCAGTAGGTGCAGTAGATTCTCAGAAAGCAAACAAGACCCAGCATTCATGATATGCACGCTCTTAAGGCTGTGCAATTGGGCAATTAGTTGAAAGGGGTGTGTTAAAAAAATAGCAGTGTGGCATTCAATCAGTGAGGTCATCAATTTTGTGAAATAACAGGTGTGAATTAGGTGGCCCCTATTTAAGGATGAAGCCAGCACTTGTTGAACATGCATTTGAAAGCCTGAGGGAAATGGGTCGTTCAAGACATTGTTCAGAAGAACAGCGTACTTTGATTAAAAAGTTGATTGGAGAGGGGAAAACCTATAAAGAGGTGCAAAAAATTATAGGCTGTTCAGCTAAAATGATCTCCAATGCCTTAAAATGGAGAGCAAAACCAGAGAGACGTGGAAGAAAACGGAAGACAACCATCAAAATGGATCGAAGAATAACCAGAATGGCAAAGGACCAGCCAATGATCAGCTCCAGGATGATCAAAGACAGTCTGGAGTTACCTGTAAGTACTGTGACAGTTAGAAGACGTCTGTGTGAAGCTAATCTATTTTCAAGAATCCCCCGCAAAGTCCCTCTGTTAAAAAAAAGGCACGTGCAGAAGAGGTTACAATTTGCCAAAGAACACATCAACTGGCCTAAAGAGAAATGGAGGAACATTTTGTGGACTGATGAGAGTAAAATTGTTCTTTTTGGGTCCAAGGGCCACAGACAGTTTGTGAGATGACCCCCAAACTCTGAATTCAAGCCACAGTACACAGTGAAGACAGTGAAGCATGGTGGTGCAAGCATCATGATATGGGCATGTTTCTCCTACTATGGTGTTGGGCCTATTTATCGCATACCAGTGTTAGGTAATTTCTTAGTTAGATAGATATGGATTAGAGATCTGTTGTATTAGAAGATGTTTAGTGTAGCCAGGATGTCTCCTCAGGATGTTAAATGCAAGGTTGGTTAAGGCAGAAGGGCTCAAGTCAGGGACAAATGTTATTATGACGGTAAAAGTAACCATAATATTTGTCTTAATGTGTAATGTTATGTCAAATTGTTTTAGATACACACCACGAAAACAACAGCCACACACATTATTTTCTTCATGTTTTGTCTACTGCTCTGCTCAGCTGCCAAGCTGGCATATCAGGTGACGTCACGGTTCGACAGCCCAGAAATGATTAATATTGTATAGCAATGCTTGGTTCGGGGTCTTTTCTGCTTCCGGGCTGCTTGGGCAGCCTGGGGGTTGGAAGATCTCTGGACTTTGAGTGTGAATTCTTGCCTGTGACTCTTTGAATAAACCAGCACGGTTATATTTTTTATATACTCAAGTGGTCTGAGTCGTCCCTCTGAGTTCCTGGTTTGAAAGAACTGGATGAGGCTTTATAATAGAATAGAGCCTTTACCGGTTTAGCATACTCACTAAGTCCTGCTTTGTCCTGCAATAGCCTATACAGATAGGGGGTCTGCAGCGCAGACAACCCATTGCTCAATGTTGATTGATTAGTTGCCGCCTGGAAAATCACATCACTACATCACTACATACATACACCTGGTTTAGATCACATTCCAGCAAGGAGTTGTGAGCTCCTGCTTACACAAAATGGCCAATAGGATTGTTAGAAATTAATAAATCAGTCAGATAATTATTAGACTTTAATGTGTTAGATTTTAATGTGTTATTAATGCAGTTTAGTAAGATTCAAACTCTGCTCCAGTCTGCTCTGTTTCAAGCTTATGTTAGGTATTTTTAGTGAGATAGATATTGGTTAGGTACTTGTTGTATTAGAAATGTCTTTAGTGTAGACAGGACGTCTAGCTAAGGCGGTTAAATGCTCACTCATTTACATGAGTTACTCCAGGTTGTTTATGTTCAAGGATAACCAGATAGAAATTGGCTACTGTATGATATATTTAGCTGTAATCTTAATCATAATATCTTCCTAGGCTTAATGTCCGGACATGTCCCTGAATGTCCTGTATGTTGTTAGATACACACCACTTAATCAACACTCACACACATTGATTTTCTCCACGTTTTGACTACTGCTACGGTCAGCTGTAAAGCTGGCATATCAGGTGACGCCACGGTTTGACGTGCCTGTGTAGAATGAGGTTAGCCCAAACCAGCTATAATGTACAGGCCTGTTGGGTTCGAGGTCTTTTCATCGTTCATCTGCCTGCGTGCAGTTTGGAGGTGAAGGATACCTGAGCGTGTAATGTTAATTTTACCTGTGATCCATGAATAAACCAGCACGGTTTTTTGTAGCCACTTGGACCGCCTCGTCTCTCTGAGTTCAACTGGTATAGCATAACTGGGAAAATATCCTTCAGTTAGAAGATAATGTTGATTCTGAAAAGTGTACTTTGACACCAGTTGTTGTTAGGATGGCTTGAACACGGAAGTGAGCGAGTCACAAAAATTGACGGACCCAGGTGGCTGACTTCGATGCAGGCAGTGCAAGTTTATTTACAGTGTACAACAAGTGACCAAGAAATGAACAGACGAGTAACACTGGGACCGGGTGTCGAGCTTCGGATGGGAACACAGTCAGTGGTGGAGATGATGAGAAGAGGACTGGGCTGCGGACACTGGGACTCACTCCTGGACTGGTCGAGTTGGATGGTACTGAAGAGGAACAGAAATTGTACATATGGTAAGTAGTAGACTGTGCATCGACCTGCAGGGTGGTGATGAAGCAGAGCGGAGGAGGTCCGTGGTCCGAAGGAGCGACTGAGGCGAGGAGAGAATGAATAAAAAGCAGCTGGAGAGAAGGAGACAAAAAAAAACTAACACAGATCAGAAGGAACAACGGGGAACAAACGGGCCTGAGAAATGCTAGAAAGAACTGGCAGGGGAGTGCACGAAGAAAAAAAAACAGGGGCTAAATAGGGAGAAACTAATTAGGTGCAGCTGGTGGTAATCCGGGGGTAAGAAGCAGGTGTAAGGGATAACGTAATCAGGGTAAGGGAGTGAAAGCAGAGCGAGGGGAGTGAGAAAGTAGCTGCAGCCGGGCAAACCTGACAGTTGTTTTCTTGTATTAATCTTGTGTAAGAATTATGTCTGAATGAATGTTTTATTTACACATCACGCATACAACATACACACACACGGAATTCTTCATTTTGTTATGTCCAGCTGCTCCAAGCATGCGGAGCTCTAGATAAGAGAAGGAAATCTAGATAAGAGAAGGAGACATCGGACTGTCTCCAACTCCTGATGCTTTTACAGCTGTCTGTGTAAGGGGTTAGCCCAAAACCTTATAAATGTATTAGGCTCTGTGTTTCCGGGGTCTCTCTTCTCCAGCAGCTTGTCTGACGGAGGGAGCCACCCGGGTTTGTGCTTCTGTAACTTTTATTTGTGGTCTTTTTTAAATAAACCAACACTAAAATGAAACAAGTCGGACTCGGTCTTCATTCAGATCTGTTCAATAAAAGAACTGGGGTATAACAGGATTACGAAGTGTTGAATGTTGTACTTCTGTCCAGGGCAGACCTAGCCAAAGAAGAGAACTGTAACTCGTAGTTCAGAGAACGGATCTCCTGCGGGAGCTCTGTCTCTCTGATCCCAGTGCTGTATGGACTTCACCTGTGCCCAGACTTTAAAATCAACAGGAAGTTTACTCAAATAGTCCTCTCCTGTCTTCACTTCTTGCACTTTCAATAAAAAAAAAAACAGGTCAAATCTAACAGTTCCATTATATCTTAAAGACCTCATAGAGCCTTATCATCCCAACAGAGCACTTTGCTGTAAGAGTGCAGGTCTACTTGTGGCTCCTAGAGTCCACAGAAGTAGAATGGGAGGCAGAGCTTTTAGGTATCAAGCTCCTCTCCTATAGAACCAACTCCCAGTTTCAGTTCGGGGGGCAGACACCCTCTCTACCTTTAAGACTAAACTTAAGACTTTCCTTTTTGATAAAGCTTCTAGTTGGGGCTGGATCAGGTGACTCTGAGCCTTCCCTGCAGCAAACCTTCTGAGTGTATTGAATTGAGCATGGGTGTGTTTTATTGCTTAATAATTAAATGTTTCATTTGTCTCACTTTAAGTCCAAAAAATTCCTCCACCTCCATATGATGTGTTACATATCTACAAATGCAGTGAAACTGTCTGTTAATTTGAAAACGTTTCCATGGATTAACTGTTCTGCTTTATTGCTTTGTAAATTTTCTTCATTTAAAATTTTGTGATGACCCAAAAGCTGTTTTCTTAAAATGTTCTGACAGGAATAAACTTTGGTGAAAACCTTTAAATTGTTGTTTTAAGGTAATTTAAATGTATGTTTAAATTAGCCAAAAACATTTAATCTAATCTAACCTGAAAGTAAGTAAATTGAAATCTGGGAGCTCCTGCTGTATATATAAAAACATATTTTATATTAATTGCCGCTGATGTAGAATAATGGTTATCATGCTTATAAGCAAAGTCAATATAAAAATACCTAAGGCTGTTTGGCCATACATAATGGACAAGTTGTGAATGACGGTTTGGGGAACAGCTAGACAAGCAGCCGCACATTTCCTCAAAACCCTGGAACACCACCAAACCTGACGAACTTTACTCCGCTGGCTATTTATTGCCCCACCTTTGAAACTTCAGTTGCGACAATGTTTAACAGCAAATTCAGAGTCACGCACAACTTCACTGTTCTTGGCGCGTGTAGCCGACTGCATCGATGGAGTTTTAATTTGAATGGATATTGGTTAAAGCACAACACTTACAGAAACAAAAATGGTTAGTGGTGATTGGTGAATACTCACATGCTGATGTTATGTTGGGGAATGCTTCGTAAGGAGATTTTTGGTGCGGTTTGTGACTTTTGTCTGTTCAACTCCCTTCAGGTTTCCATCGCCAAGGTGCTCCTCGGAGTTTTTGGGGTTGCAGTTGTCGTCATTTTGATAGCGGTACCCGCGGCTATATATTTGCAAGGTGAGTAATTGCTTTTGAATAATTCACACAATAACATTAAACGCACCACTTTGCGGTCCGATGCGCCGTTCAAACGCGTCCGAAATAAAGTACATTACGCCCGCGTCATTACGCATTATATTTGGATCGTTGTTAAATGCACCTCTTCGCAATAAATGTAGGAAAGGTGAAGCAATTCAGCTCTGGGAATTTAGATTTACATGCAAGGATTTTTAAATAAAATGTATTGTTATTTTATTCTAAGTAAGACAAGAAAATCATTGTAGCTGACATAAAGAGGGGAAGTTACACTCTAGTTTCTCCTACACCACACTGGCATGCCTTCAAATAGCTTCATATGCAGTCAGTAGCCTAGACAATGGCAGTTCCCCCAAACGCACTAATGCAAAACATATTCCATTTGTCACTATTAGAAAGAAAGAAAGAAAGATACAGCTTTTACAACACTTACCTTCTTTTGTGATGATGATCTGATAGCATATCTGTAACCTATGACCTCAGAGTCCCTGCCATGTTGTAATGTTCAGTCTGACGTGTTTCAGAGGATCAGGGGGGAAACAAGAAGCAGAGAGCTTTCACCCTGGAGGATGTCTTCAACAATTCACTGAAACCAAAGTCCTACAACATGAGGTGGATCTCAGGTGACAGTTAATTACCATATAAACCTGTAAAAGGAGTAATAGTCGGGTGGAGGTGAGACATGATGACAACCAGGTGTGTACTGGCTTCTAAGCCATAAATGTGTCACTGAGGATAGCAGCTGCAGTGTTCTCACTTGTTCTAGTTGCCAATTCATTTACACTGTCTTGTATGGGGTGTGTGTCTGGGGTGTTATTTTTAATATTTAGTTAGTAATAATTTTAAAGTACAAAAGAATAAGGCAAACAATATGTTTGAATTTATATATGTACAGGATGTATAATGAATCCCTGTAACTCATCTTTTAAAAAAATATGTTTTAAAAGATTCATCAATCAATATATTATTATTTACTTACAGTTAGTACATATATTAACTTATAAGCTGGAATCTCAGTTGCTCTGGTTACTGCTAATGTGACACAAAGCACTAATGTTACACAAAGCTTGAATTACTCCAAAATTAAAATCATAATATAAATGCAAACGTACGACCATGCTAGGTCGCTAGTGATACCAAAATATACATGTTAGCTTTATATGCTAACAAAAGGAAGAACACCAAATCTGAATCAAATCTGAGTCTTTTGGTTGCTTTTACTCTCCATGTCAAAAAGCCAAACCAATGTTACCCCTGGATTTTGCTCTTTCTTTCTCCCGCTCCCTCTGTGCAAAAGAATGAGACCTTTGCGGTCTGGCAGCCAATGCTTCAGACTTTTAACTGCTGAGAGCTCCACCACAACTGGCTGTCTGAAATTGCTACTCACAGTTGAAAAAATGCTTCTTATAACCTGCATTAGGTGGCAGGGGCTAATTTACAGACCTTTTTTGACAACAAAAGGTAGAGAAGCTGGAATAACAACAGAAACACTGCAGGCAGCAACATGTCATAGAGAAGCAACATGTCAGCTGAGAGACACCACATCCTGCCTCATTTTAACATTATTTATCAGACAGTGTGTAAAATCTTAGTTATGCATGTAAAGGCTCTATTTGTTTTAGCCTCTTCCGGCTCTTTCAAACCAGGAACTCACAAAAAAGAAGTAGACCATTTGGATTATATAAAAAATAGCCGTGCTGGTTTATTCAAAGGATCACAGGTAAAATTAACATTACACGTCCAGATCTCTTCCACCCCCAAACCTGCACGCAGGCAGCCTGGAAGATGAAAGACCCTGAACCAAAAATGTCTATACAATTTAATCACTTGGTTGGGCTAGCCCATGCTACACAGGCAACATCAAACCGTGGCGTCACCTGATATGCCAGCTTGCAGCTGACCATAACAATAGTCAAAACTTGTAGAAAGTCAAGGTGTGTGGCTGTTGATTAGTGGTGTGTATCTAGAACATTTTGACATGACATTACACATAAGAAAATATTATGATTACTATTACAGTTAATAATAACAATCACCTCCTGCCTGCAGCCTTTGTCTTATTTAATTAACCTTGGCCCAAATGCAGCCTGCAGAGCTCATGACAATGACTAAACATTTAACAGCCTGAGCTAGACATCCTGGCTACACTAAACATTTCTAGACAACAAATCTCTAACAAATATCTATCTGACTAGAAATTACCTAACACATGTTTAATGTTTTCGGAGATGCATGTCTTATGTTGTAAATAACATTTACTTGATTGCAGTGTCTACTAATTTTGCTCATCTTCTACCACAGATCATGAGTATTTGCATAAGTCTGAAGGCTCGGTCTACCTCTACAACGTGGTCACAAATAAAGTCTCAGAGTTCTTGAGCAGTGAGAAGTTTGTAAGTCACTCCCCTGTGTGTTTCTTTTGTGTATAAGCAACATAAACCACATGATCAGCCTGAAAATTACATACCCACCCAAACAAATACAGTGCTGTCTGCCATGGGGAGGTGTCTGCAAAACTCTCACAAATGTTTATTTTCCTTTATAACACAGATGGAAAAAAATGCTGAAGATTACCAGCTGTCTGCTGACCGCAAATATGTTGCTTTCATGAGCAACTATACCAAGGTAGCCTAAACTTTGATTCCCTTTAATCTGATGTATATTTGAAGCTCCTGAGTGATCACACAGGATTGTTTTGTTCTTGTCCTGTTAGCTGTGGAGGCACTCATTTACAGCTTCATATTCACTTTATGACCAGGAGTTAAAGTAAGTACCCTAACTATGAATCGTTAATAATTTTTTACACATACTTTAAGCTCAGTATATGCAGTTATGATCATGTCAGAAACTGCAGTTGAAATTGTTTGCCTGATGGCCAACACAGTGCTTGCAAAGCAACTACATTTATAATCATACTATATTTACTTTATATTACTGGTTTTAAAATAAAATAGTAAGGCAGTATGGCAATTCACTACAGTAACACTAATCTATGAGGTATTTTATCCATTTGTTCTACA